AAAAAAAAAAAAAAAAAAAAAAAAAAAAAAAAAATGTGGGATGGAAATAGCTGTGTCAGGCCAGAGAGTTCTCATAGTTTTGTGAGTTGTTTCTTTTGCAAGGTGAACGTTATCCATTTCTATAATTTATACCTCTGAGGGATGTTGTTAATTAGAACTTGGAGAAGTCTTTGATATCCTGGATTGAAAGGTGCCTTCTAAGTACAAAGCACTGTTCTTATTTTTTTATTATTTCAGATCTCTTGTACTTCAGTGTACAAGAGGAGGCTTAACCATGTTTTACTGTGTTGGAGGTTACTGGTCTGGCTGGTTTTGTGTGTAAGTTATAAGTGGGGGAGAATAGGGGGTGGGGAGAGACTGTTGCCAGGCAGGGCAAAATAAGAGATTTTGCTGATGTGCAAGGAAAAAGCCAGCCATGCTGTCATTATTTCTGTGGAAAGTATACACAACAGGATGATTGACATTTTTTTCATCAAAGCTGCTTTGGATGGAAAATTGGATTTTTGACTAAACAAAATGTTTTGTTTATGTGCAAAAAGTGCCTTCTGTCTATTGAAAAATGAACAATTGAATGTTCAAAAACAGAAGTGTGTGTCTGCAATTCAACAGAAGTTCTGCTACAGAAGCCTCTAAGCAGACTACATCCAGGAAGATGCATGATGACTAGGGACCATTATGAGAAGAAGCATCCCCTCGCTTCACCAAGAGGCAAGAGGAAAGGCGCAGTTCAGGTAGAGCACCTGGCTGAGAGAGGAAAAAAAGGAATATGCGGTTCTTGAACTACAGTTTGCATGACATACTGCAGCACGACTTTGAATTGATGCTTTTTGGTTTTCAGTTTTTCCCTGGGAACAAGATTATTCTTGACAAATCTCTAATAAAGACTTATGACACCATATAACCAAAGTCCAAAGGTTTCTTCTACATTTGGGATGCTTATTGGGCCTCATTTTTCATCACTTCCCACACATGCAACCAAATTTTGGCAGGGGAGATCAGACTTGAAGACCTCAGTCCATAAAGCTGCCTATTTCTGTTTTGATGGTGTGAGAAGACTGATGATAAAGAACTGTACCTCCATGGAATATAGTCTATTACTGGAGCAGTGAGACTGAAGAAAATAGGGAAAATGGGTTGTGCTGATGAACCTGTGAGAATGATAGGCGTGTCTTAAAAGAACTTCACAAATAGAAATAATGTGCTTTTATTTTTTTTAAACAAATCCTTCTTTCATCCATCCTCAGTCCAGTGTGGTAATAAAAGAAAAGTTTTTTTCCCAGCATGAGTCTTTATAGTTTCTTATCCCATGGGTATCATCATGGCATTTGGGTAGCATCCAATAGTGCATGTAACGAAGTGACTAATGCCTTTTACCTGGCGTTTATTTTTTCACCTGCCCCTCAGGCAGCTATGTGCATACAATGAACTATTGCTATTATAGGGTCAATTGGCTTCTTGTTTTTCAGTCTGTATGGGCATTTATACACATGTTTGGGATGGAGGGGAACAGAAGACTTCAATCAGTGGCACTGAGAGCCTCCCTAATTACAGCACCTAGAGCGTCTTGTCTATCAGCTCCTTCAATGAGGTTTGGTTAAAGCATCCCCACTGCCATTTTCAAGTGCAGGGATGCTGATACACAAGATGCTGGAGTCTGCTGGAGCATGGTAATTAGCATGACTGAGTCTGCTCTGATGCATTTTTATCACTGTACGTTGGAGTAGCCTCGCTGCTCGTGTATAGGTACCCTGTGTTACTATGTATTATGTTAGAAGGCAAAGACAAAGAAAAGCACCTTGTAATTTGTGCTGAAGATAGTGAAGTTCTTAGAAAGGAAGGAGTCTCCTTTTTTTTCACCTACTTGCAGTCCCATAGTGGGAAAGTAAAGGTCCAACTCGCAAGTCTTGGGTGTCTGTCTGAATGGTGTTCATTATACCAGCTGCCCTCAGAAGTGTCTCTGCGAGCAGAAGGCCTTCTGTTAAGAATGTAGGTGAAATGGTGGGTGGTAAATAATCCTGTGTCCCAAGAGGTTTTTAAGATGGTGGCTTTTAGTACTTGGGAGCAATATCGCTATTCAGAAATCTGAGCAGCTTGCAAGCTGTAGGGTCCTTCATGGTATGCAGAAATTTTGATCTGGGATGCAGACTGCAACTAGGTGAAAAAAGGAGACAAGTGGCAAAAAATGAAAAAAATCATCTTGGTTATTAGAAATGTAGATAAAATTTAAAACTTAATAAATGCGGATCAGTTCTTTAGTTAGCCAAAGAAGTGAGAGGCAGAGCAGGAATTTCACAGCTTCATTAATATTATTTCAGATTTCTTTTGTTTTTTGATATCTAAAATTTAAAAATCTGGGGTCAGTTCTGAACCTCAAAACCTTCTGATGTGAGACTAATGACAAATCTGAATTTGCAGGTCATGTTGCTAATGGTAAGAAAATCTCAACAGGTTTCTAGAAAGGAGTTGCGTTTACGTGTCTACAAAGAATATCCACTATTATAAAAAAAACTTAAGTAAGGATAATCAACCCTCTGCTTCAATGGTTAGGTCAGTATTTCAGCTAAAGAGACTGGATGAGTTTGGCCTATACAGTTCCTCGCACCTTTTCCAAAGCAGCTGACACTGGCTGCTGTCAGAAACACGATTTTGGGTTAGACAGATTATGGGTCTGATACTGCGTGACAACCCCTATGTGTGTTTGTGGTGAGGAGATAGTGCTTGAATATTTGGGAGATCCTATTCAGTTCTTCAGCAATACCTATGTGGCTCTAATACTAGCCACCTGACCCTGCCAAGTTGTATAGTTCCAGGTATTTGGTGTGATTTCTGGTACTTCCTGTTCCAAGTCCAGGTAGAAAGTCCTGGCAGCCCCACCTCTCTCTCATTGTATTTTGACTTCTGAGCTTCAGAACTTGTCTGAACTTGGCAGGATGAGTGGTACCTAAACATGAGAAATAGAGGGGAGGGAAAGTTAATGTCTTTGTACCTTAGAAGTCACAAGTTGGAGCTACAGCACCACAGATGTTTGTCTGTGCTTCCCTCTGAGTAGGCAGAGAACAAAAATTACCTACATCATGTTTCTCCTGTGCTTCAGATCTAATGTTTCAACTTCATGCAGATTTCATCTTTATTTTTATGTTGTTCAACTACATTCACCTTCCTGCTTCAGATATCTCCTGTTTGTTTGAATGAGAATTAGACACCAACTAATTGGAAAACCAAAATGAATGGCAGGAGTGTGTTGACTGGATATCCACTTTCACACTGATCACTCAACCTTTTGCCTTACAGCCACTGCAAAGAACAATGGCAGCTCCGTGACTGAGCAGACTGGGGCACCAGGCGGAACTGGACAGACTAATCTGCAGATCAGTGGAGAAGCATTCTCTGAAGGGGACCTGCTCCTTCAGGTAATGTATTGCAGCCTCACCTCTGACACCCACGTGATGTTAAGTGCAGTACAGTCCATGCTTGTTAGCAGTAATGTGTCAATGCCCTGGTGCTATGTTGTTCCCAAGCAGCTGTTTCAGGGTGTTGCTGGAAACAAACAGCAAAGAATGTTTTGTGCTTGCAGTGATGGTGGGCAGCGGATGAATGTCCTGTATCAGTTACTGCTTAAAATCCTGCACTGCTTAGCAGCTGGGTGCTCCTGGGCAGGCCATTTAACTTCTCTGTGTGTCAGTTTAGCTGCCTCTAAAATGAAGATAATGCTCATGCCATACCTCTAAGTTGTGTGGCTGTGGGTATAGGTTCACTGCAGAATTATTTTGGGCTCCTACTTGAGTGATGTCTCTAAGGGTATGTACACAAGCACAGGCAGACTATCTGGGAGGCTCTCTAACTCATGGGGCTTTGCACAAAGTGCCATGAGTTAGAGCGCCATTGAACCCAACAGGGTGTAGGGGACTCAGAGCTTGCTTGCACCAGACCTGTCTAGCAGGCAAGGGTGCTCCTGCAGCTTCCCAGAAGGCTGCCAAACTGTCCCTCTCCCTAGCCCCCTGCCCTGCCCTGCCAGCTGACAACTGTCAGCAGCAGCTGGGGAAGGTAGGGGGAAAGGACAGAGCCCTCACCTGCTGTGCGTAGCCCCCTCCCCCGCCCCCCCCAGCTACCCGTGCTGGGGTCTTCCGGGGAGCCAAATGGGGCCTGCATGGCAGAGGGGCTCCTCCCCCCTTACATTTTGCCCTGTACAAGTGTCTTGACAGCAGCAGGGGCTGTCATGCCTGGAGCTGGGGGGGGGGGGG